ATCAAAGTAATAACTCTGAAAGTCATATAAGGCTTTACTAAGACGTTCCAGTGAAATAAACTTACCAGAAAGTCATAGATGTCAGACAAAAATCAAAACATATAACTGAGATTCAAAACTTTTAGGAGGCATATTTAACTCCTAAATAAAATATAGTGTTACTCAACTGTACTCAAAAGATTTCTTTATTCAAAAATAGACAGATATTATGCAGTTCCAGGGGAGTAGCTGGCATTACTTGTTGCTAAGTTATTTGATACTCGAATATCGAGAAGAATAACTCCCAGATACAAATAATATAATTTGAAAATGACTGAATTTTACACCGCATAGTTTCTCACCTTCAAGTACACAGGTAGTCAGTCAAAATGGAACCTATCACTGGTGTGCATCGGTTTGGGTTACTATTTGAATTAGTATACCTGGACATTTGCAAAAATATATGGTCTGAATGTATAAAATGTGTTTACAAATTTTTGCATTTATGATTTCCAAAACAAAACACCCCAACTATTGACCTGAGTCATGTAGGAATGAGTCGATTACTTAGTTGCGGGTCTCAAGAACATGGAGACAAATAGTAGATTATATGTCTCATAATCGACCACAATGGTTTTGATGCATATACTGGCCTTCACAAGTTTCCTACCTTCCTTCTCATCCACCTTTTCATGCTTTGTCAATACATATCCTATTTGCTATATGTGTCCACTTGAGCTGATGCATGTGTGCAAGGTTCTAAGTTGAATCTTCTATTTTTATGTGTTCACAGGGTGATAATCGAGGGTGAAACAAAATTCTAAATCGCAGTACTATTTGAGCCAGTGAACTCAAAGTTACTGATTCGAACTGCTAGGCATGTCAAGTACTTAGCTATAGCTTAATTAATTTACATTTCATTTGGAGGTTCGCGGGAAGCCGTTAGGTTTCAAAAGTTTTATTAACGAGTCAAGGGCCATTGAAAATCATGGAACAGTGGACAGTTGTTACCTCTTAGTATGGGAATCCCCATCACAATACCTCACGTGTTTTCTGCACTAAGTTTATTGATTGCCCATTACTGTTATATAAGGGATTATCATCATAATATAATTCTGGCTATTCTAGAGCAAAAGGGAAATTTTATTTATCATGCTACTCATGATAGTTGGTAAAAGCTAGGAAACTCATAAAGACTCAGTAAGCTTGTAATTTCCCAGAAAACCAGAATGTTAACGGGTGATAGTCGGTGAAATGTAGCGTATTTTGTTGAAAAAATGAGTGAAATTTTCGAATACAAAAAGACATGCCTTCATGAAATTCGGGAGTTATTTTTCACGACGTATGCACCTTATAATTTTACAGCACATCATAAATCGACTGACTTTTGGATTCCTAAATTTGAATTTCATGTCCTCGCTAAATAACGCTTTGATAGTTACAATTGTTTTTTTGGGTTCTCTTCCTAATGTATGGTGTATATTTCAATTTACTATTGGTTATTACCATTCCTATGGGCTATGAAGAAATACATCCATGATCCTAAACCTATTTTTGAACTGACTATACTTAGTGCTGTCCAAACCAGCTGGGGTTGTAAACAGCCGTTAAGAAGTAATTTATTATTTCAGCTAATTAGTTCCCTTCTAAATCTTCCACATAAGTACTAAATTTAAGATTTTCAACAGTAAGCTATCAGTGTTTAGCATAAGTCGTTTGATACATTTCAGTAGTAGACAACATTAAATACATCTCTTAAACCTAAACATGAATACATATATACGGGAACATATACGAATGACAAAGTTCACGATCAAAACAGCCAACACAGGGAAATAAGTAAGACTTTAAAATCGATTTTCCCTGGTAAATTCAACTATTGAAAACCAAGTTCGATGTACTATTATTTTTTCGCTCTATTGATTTTCATTGTTATTCAGCCTTTAAGTCAGCCATCCTACCTGACCCCTTTTTATTTTCTTACCCTTATCTTCATGAGTTTTTATATAAATACCTATTTAAACAGCGTAATGAGAAGACGAAGATTATCTGAAACATGTGATGTATTAGCGCTATACATTTCGAACTATCTGATCACACATGGACTTGTCGAACTATTTATATGAAAATTTACGAAAATTTTCATATAAATAGTTCGACAAGTCCATGTGTGATCAGATAGTTCGAAATGTGTTGCGCAAATACATTAAACGGTTCAGACAATTTACGTCTTCTTATTGTTCTGTCGAAGTTTATAAAGGGAACTAATTGTTTGAAACACAAAGTAAAACATGACATGATGGTAGTTCAGAAATATGATTACAGCTCAAGGTGGTAGGACGTCTAGTGGTAGGGGGAGAAAAACAAAGAATAGCGAACAAAGTATATGAGTTAATGGTAGACGAATAGAATAGACGAATACTCTGATAGCTCGCAGCAGAAAATTTTAAATTTAGTACTTATGTGGAAGATTTAGAGCACATGAAATGAGTCCAACTCGTCCACAATATTTGTTGTTTTTGCCTTTCAAAAAAAATTTATTTTTTTATAGTAATGCTGGGCAGTGGCTAGCAGTGGAATCCAGGATGCGCATTTCATCCTATTTGGGACTCATCAGTTGGGTGTGGCTACTTCCCTATGTGTGATGTCGTTTCCACCGGGATTCGGACTTGGGAGCGATCGTTTCAAGCGTGAGAACGTAATCCACTACACTACCGAGCCACGATAGCCACTTCTTGTGCGACGGGTATAGTTTTAGTGTTATTGCTTGAAAATTGATGTCTCCACATAACCTAAGCATTGTATCGAAATATCTAACCAGGGAAATACAAATAATATTTGAAATCAGTAAACAGAAACGTTATTGACATCCCTTTACACACTTAGCATTCTGCAATTGATTATTTGATACTGATCAAACACATGTTGTGCATATTATGAACGTATTTCATAAATTGTCCTCATAATGAAATACACTTGTCTCTTTATGACACTACGAACATTATGAGTTTGATTACAGAAATGACCTAGAGTAGTGATTTCCTGATGGTTATAAACTGCTAAGAAACATATCTCCAGTGATTAGCGTTTCGTTAATGGTGAATATACATTTCAAATCTATCTAAAGATATATTTTACAGTTTCCTTTCAATGCACACAAAGTTTGCTTAATCAATCTATGACATGCACTTTTTAGGTTATATAACCATCTGAAATGTACTAAATAACTGTCAGAAAAATCCATATAGTAATGACATTTCATGCAATCAATTGGTCAGGTTGTTTCATACTTGTGGATGAATAGAATTATTTTAAAAGCAGAATAAAAAATACAACGAAATTTATAAAATTTCCTATCTGTATTGGTTCATGTGGTAAAACTTTCAAAAGAGAAGAAAAAACTGTCCCCCCTCCCCCCCCCCCAAAACCATATGCATAATATGACACATTTGAACCAATAGCACTAAATATTTGACAAGGCATTCTTCGAACAAAGGTAAATAGACAAAAACTATAAAAAAAGGTTTAACAGGTTAAGATAACATCCACATTATTCAACTGCGGTGTTGATCTGTTGCGTAACAAGCTTAGTTCAAAAATATAAGCTAGAGATAACGCTTAGATTGACAGCAGAATTCATATTATCTATATTTTATCATTCAAAGAAGTGTTGAACGCACTAGGTATAAAATCTGAAGATTTCTGGAGATGAATTTATTGATTTCAGGTAATGATGATAATGAAGAGGATGATCGACTGACTGCCAAAAACAACATAGAATAGAATGTTGTACAATAGTTGCCACACTTCACGGTATAGAAAATGACTAATATCAAAGTAAACAAGATTGTGTAAGAAAATAAACATTCAAGATTTAGACGATACCAAGGAGTCAATACATCTACACCACTGTGACCGATTTTCAGCCATGTCACCAAGTACCCTCAACGACTGGTTTCTATCTCCAGGGATTTCAGCCAGGTAGTCTACATATCCCCACACGGTTCAGACAGACAGTCGGGGACTTCGCCGACTGGTTTCAGGTCTTGGCTTGGCAACTGTGAACCCTCTTCCAACCTGATCTGACTTCTCCTTGCATGGCGCGTCGAGGTAGGCGGTGGCTTAGCATGCTCAGACGTGATAAAATTGGAACTATGAACTTTTAGCTAAGTTAGAGCCGGTATTGATAGCCAGTTAATAACAACGGTTTCCATTAGGCACCGGATTTATTTACACCAAACGTGTGAACACAGAATACTTGCAAATAGAGTCACCTAGCTACAGTATTCGTGGTCATAATGGTGAGTGACACGACACACATTTTCGTAGAAGAAAGTGCTTTCAGTACACTTGGTGTACTCTTCCTATCTAGTGTCATCAGGCATGAAGCTAAGCTCCATTTCTTTTTGTCAGATACTCCGAACAATGAAACATAGAGTTTAATCAAGTTTTTCCGAGCTATACAGTCTCAGATAAGAGTGAAACGATTAGGTGAGATCCAATTGTAAAACTTGATCATCATTCGCAAACAAACAAGTTCAACCAAAGGGCTAGCCAGTTTTATTATCTAAGTTTAAGCGCTCCGGGTATATTGCTGATAGTATAACTCAAAAAAAGCGGACATGCTGCATAATGTTTAAATCACCATTGTCTGAGTAGTTGATCGTACTAATTACTATGGGCGGTTTACAAACTCTTATTTCAGTCAAAAGTATACGTCTAGTCCAATAATGAATCATATGTATCCATTCGAAACCTCTATAACGATCAAGCTTAACACCTTCAGGTTTCGCGGTGAACATATTAACCACTCAGCCACTGGGTCGGAGTTCGATCTCTTGCTGGGTTGTGCACATTTGTGCTGTTGAGGAGTCACATGCTAGGACGAAACAGCCATCTAGTTCTCCCAGTTTTTAACTGGTTATCCAATTGATGTCACTCCATGATACATACTACCTAAAGAATAAAATCCCGACAAACCTCAATTAAATTATATATATATAAGACATGGCAAAACCTACCAGAAATATCAATAACAAGACGATGTATTGTTGGGTTGTTTGGATCAACTTGTCTTGGCCTGATATTTAATCCATATCGTGGTTTCAATGGCTCCCACTGAGTTAAACCATTATTTGTTGATGGTTTGTCTGTTGAACTGAAATCAATACGCATATTTGGCGGCCCGTTAGCAATAGTTGTACAAGTTAACTTAATTGCATCCTCTAAACTTCGTTCAGTTGATAACAACTCTGTATTTATGATACGTGGAACTAGGATAATTTCAGCCTCTAGACTGAAACAGAAATAAAAATTAAAATAGTAAGTGGAAGTCAATAATATATATATATATATATATATATATATATATATATATATATATGACCCATAAAAAGAATACTAAAAGTGGATTTCATCTTCAGTTTATCAATCACTTTCATTCATGCACTACTTCCATGAAATACAGTTTATGCGATGTACAGTGTGGTCGAAATTTGTGTGTGAAGTGAGTCAGTGTAAATCTGTTAGTGATAGAACTGAAGCTTGCAAAAAATGTATTTTCATTGAAAAAAATCACTAGAGACCCAGTGTTATGATATTATGTAAACAGTCTGAACTATCTGATCTAAGGGATATTTTTCAGATATCGTTCCAACAAATCTCCCTGGTTTTAAGTGCCTAAAGGATTGGATATCTTGTTTTTTGTGTTGAAAACTGTAATACATTCCTCCAATTATGTTGTATCATTCATTGTATTACTTGTTTCATTCCAAAGAATAAATTATAGAGAATGGAAGTGAGAAACAAACATGACAGTCATTTTAGCAAATATCACCGACACTAAATAAGATCTGTTGGCAATGATAGCCAAAGTCTAAAGAAATGTCAGGTCATTAGAAAATCCGGACCTGGCAGTCACCGAAGGTCTGGATTTTCTCCTATCTTTACCGACAACAATTGAAAAAGACGATCAGTTACTTAGTCTAGTCAGGATCACTCTCAGCAACAATTCGTTAACACATAATTAAATATTATTACACTTCAGAATGATCGACAAAACTATTTTACATAACAGGAATACAACAAAAACATTAAAAACGTTTTTTATAGCTCATAGTTGAAAAAAGGTTACGAAAGGGATTTCCAACAAACTACAGACATTCATCAACAACTGCCTACACTGGCTCCTTACTGAAGCTCAAATGGCCAGAATAATGAGAATAGGCAACAAGGAACTCTGGCAACGAACCAACTAAGAACCTATCGCTCAACAAATATGCAGAAGGAAGTGGAGATGGATTGGGCATACACTGAGAAGACTATTCCGGGACATCACGCGCCAAGCACTACAGTGGAACCCAGATGGGAAATGACGAGTTTGGCGTCTGAGTCGAGGGTGACATGGAGGAGATGGTATGAGGAAGAAATGAGAGCTTGTGGGCTGCCGTGGAGGCAGGTTCAAAAGATTGCAGAGAACAGAGTGCACTGGAGACGTGCTACTGAAACCCTATGTTCCACTAGGAACCCAAGGGACAAATAATAATAACAGTTGACCTAAGGACAAGCCAGTTGTTATGACCTACAAGATAGACGATCAAAGCAAACTAAATTAACCACAATCACTTATAAGTAAATATTTTCAATTCAACGAATTAATTCCCGAAAATAATGATTACTTTTGGCGATTTAATTCAGTGAATATGTTCGAAACAATCCCAAAAGACTTCAAACATACACTAAAATAAAGTTTCCAGCCTATGGTAACCATAGTAATAGGCGTTCAATATATTATGCATGTTGTTAGAAGAAGAACTCTTCGAGGCATCCTAGTTAGAAAAAGGTTTTAGGTGTTTAGGTTAATAGATGAACAAATATCCTCAATGATGTTGTATTTCTTAAGCAACTAACTGGGGATTGATTCAGGGTAGCTTAGTTCGATAGACTGGTATATCTTAAGTAGTGTAATTAATTTAAAATTTGTTTACAAACAGCATGGCCCATGTTAACATTCTTCACAGTTGAGAAGTTTTGTTAATTGCTTAGTCAGAGATTTAACATCGTTTCCATCATACTTTCAGCCTGATATCCTAATATTTTTAATCATTTTTTGATGCCAAAAAACTGCTGTCTTTAGTCGCCTTTGCCATTCTCTCATCCTCCGTTACGTTTTGATTGCTGGGGCCAACATCAATCCACCATACTCACAAGTTATCTGTCTTCATACTAATAAAGAAGCTTCTAAACTCTCATCCCCACCTTATTTCCAGAGCCGTTTTAAATAATATTGGTTCATGAAATCAGCCTATAATGATAAGTCAACAAAACTTTATTCGATTGTTTTTTCTGACAAAATATTTCAACTTCATACATTCTTACTTCATAAAAAGCACTGTTAAAAACTTTAGAAGTATGCTAGTTCTGATTGAATTAATATGAAATATATTTTCATAAATAAAGCGCATATCAGGCTAGTCAGGAGCAAAGATGACAAAACATTATCCAATTCACAAATATCGATTTTTCAGCTTATTCTGTTTCGAAGGCTACTTTTTCTCTATAAACAAGCTAACTGTCATTGATGAATGAGAAAACATTTTATGTTAAAAAATAGTCCTAAGGTCATTTTTACTTTCTTAATAGTAATATACTTCATGTTATCCTTAGGGTGAAGAAAAATTATATGGGATAGAAAAATACAATAGCAGAAATGTCCGATAATACTGATGAGAGAGAGAGAGAGAGCAAAAAAGTCACATTAAGAGAATACATATCAACCTATTATTATAGACAACTGTGAGAAAAGTAGGTTATTTAAGGGATTCAAATTAATTGAATGACCCTACTAAACGACAATGGCTTTAGGTGGTAGATATAGTCAATGTAAACAAGTTTCGCAAAGTCCGTTTGACATTTTCAGCAGAACATTTTAGTGATGTTTAATTTGGGAGTTTATTGGGATTTAGTGATTTTTTTAGGTTGGTATTCAACATGGTCTGATATCAGTTGGAGAAACATTTGAAACCTGGGGGCACTGGACAGCTGTTTCATCCTAACATGGGATTCTTCACCAGTAAGCACCCATGACACCGCCAGGGATCGAATCCAGAACCTCCAGATTCAGTAACCAGCATGTTACCATTAAGCCACTGGGTCGGAATCAAATGGTTTACATTTCCAAATTCCGTCAGTTCACGACATAGCGTGACCATTATTCAATATCGTTCTAGTGATGGCTGCCAATTTTTATTATCTGACTATGAAGTTTGTATAACAGAGAAAATAACGTGCACTTTTCATAGAAAAAGCCTTCATTTGTGTGTTTGTTGGTATACATTAAAACTAACTTATTGAACAGATATTTCTGTTGATTTTCTTTCTCACTTATCCGTTCTATTAACAACTGGAACCCTACTTGAAGACATTATAGGATTGTTGTGGATTGTTCCTGCTTTTATATGAACTAACATATGGATAAGTTTGTCGCAAATGATCTAGTAAGCATTGACATAACTATGTTGACAGGGAAATGCCGGGAAGGATTCTGATCATGTAGTTCAGTTGTTCAGATCAACTGGGTCTGCGTGATGGATTTTTACTAACTGGTTTATCATAAACTGGATTATGAGTTTGCAAATTATCTAAAAGTTGCACGGTTTGTGTTGATATTCTTCATATTTAAGTGGTTTTTCAACTACCAGATTGTGATCATAACAGAATTTTAGGGGAAAATCACTCAGCCAGCACCATAAAGTATGATCACGAATGCAAGGTTTCATACTGGAAACCTATCCATCTGTGAGGATATAAGTGTGGACCATATGATTTTTAAATAGTTTGCATATTCATAATCATATTTATGGTATGCCAGTCGACCAGATATATTTACTTGTTCTGCATAACTCGATACTCTTAGCTTAATTTATCCCTGGTACGCTTTTCGTGAAAGCTTCATCAAACAGGCGAAACTGCCATCTCTTTTCCTTCGATCACTTTAATCTAATGGTCAAAATCCACAGATCTGCATGTGTGATTCCTCTTTAATTATGTTACACAGTGGTATGGAATTACTTTTGGTTCTAAAATCGGTATTCAAAGATATTGTCAAAACATATTCTCCACAGGCTATCTAAATGATCTGTGATTTCCTTGACTACCATTTCTGTAGTAACGACCTTGTTCTACAGAAAACCTACCCTGATAAATATAAACAAATTAGATCATTGGAATGATGTCATATAAGTGATCAGGTTTTCTTGGTCATAATTAGGAAGAGTTTCTTATCTCCTACATCAGCTTACTACAAGTCACTTTAATACATAAATATGTTGTTCAAATTCATCGAAACCAAAGAAGATACTACGTAGGGGATGATTCAAGCAGAATCATACTACTCACTAACTATAAATAGTATGATTCATTTGATATTGGTGTACCTAGTGGTAATATTCTCTTTATATAGCAGGAAAATTCAAGTAAAACTAAATTGGGTCAAGAGTAAAACTACATTATATTTTGGATGCTGGAAAGGATCGCTTCATGACAAATACTAAGGGCTTCACACATGCTGTTCTGTCATTTTATGAAACTTTTCAATGTAAAGTTGTTATTTTTACTAAAAATTTGTTATATTCAAACGTCATGCTTTTAAAGAAATTATGTGGAGCTAGAAAAAGGAAACATTTGAACAGAGAATGACTTTCACAAGGCAATTAAATGATCTAATCAGGCAAGCCAGTAATGAATTGCGTATTCACCTTCCAGGCTATTGTGTGCGTCGTTTTTAAGACTTATAATGCCTCCCGGATGTCTGAAACTTTAGTAGGCGTAGCTAATATACAAGAAAGAATGTGTTGTTGAAATAAGGATGAATGCACATAGATGATGATGACTGTGCTTTTAATTTAGTTAACAAAAGTTGAGTAATTTCAATAACTGGGATTCAATGCATCGACCTAAAAAGGTAAAGTGCTTTTCGTGAAACCTGAAGATACACTATTCGAGTTTTTGCATGTTCAAAGTCGTACATTTCTAAGCAGTTGCAAAGTAAAGTATGACAACTCTTCAGTATTTCTTAGTTCCTACCAGTTCCCTTACAGATATCACTTTGTTACTAAGACCTTCTTCAAAACAACGAAAGCTGATAACCACTTGAGGTGTAAATCTGTTCACAGAAGAAAGTAAGTATGGTTCAACAGTCCTTGAAGATGACTGAAGTTGGTTAACTAACGAACTAAATATAGGCAGAAAGTTTAACAGTTTGATAACACAGTGAAAAGACGTTTTCTCGATTTTGGCGTTTGATAGAACTGATTTAAAAATGATAAAAATCAACAATTCCTAAAACCTTTATTCATATACTTCTCTAAAAAATTTCTTAGCAGTCACTAGGTGATAACCTATGTAACCAGCATGTTCCAATCGCAAGTTTTATTTCATGAATAAAGTTTTACAAGGTTACAAGTATGCCCTTCTGATAAGGGCCAAAAAACACGAAACCTTATTCAATACACAGATTCCTGTTCATTGATGCCAAACATCTACCTTGAGTTTAGTTATCTCAGCACTCATACTACTTTGGATTACAGACCAATGTCTTTTAATAAGTGGAAATTTCACAAAAACACTGTACGTGAGTTGTCCATCTATACCATTGCTATTCTGTGTTGACCAGGACTTGAATGCATAGTAGTTCTGGTGTTTTTCAACTATTAAATTGTATAAGAGATACATGAACATGAATTAGTTTTCCCATTTAATTAAAAACTGAGAAAACTCCATTTGCTTCAAGTTCAAATTCACACCTATTTAATTAGTCAGAGGGAACAATATGACTGTTTGCTGTGATTCTCGTTCACTTTTCTATCTAGATAACAGTGACTCAATACTATCCTATAAGAGTCAAATAAAGTATGACTGTACTACTTTGACAAGGTTCATATTATCAGCTTGACTATTTGAGATAGTCGTGATTTAACACACTCGTATTTATACTGGGTGGTGATTGAATGTAAAATGAAAATCTGGACCGCAGCAGGATTCGAAACAATGATCTCTGGGTTTATATTAACTACACGTATTCAACGAAGCACTGACAAGTCTAACCATCACTGGGACTAGACACTGTCAAATACACTTGATCAGAGAGTGAAAACGCCATACTCAGATCAACAAGAATGGCAAGATGTTATTCTCTGAAAAAAAGAATCACTCATTAAGACATGAAAGTCTAATAAATAGCTATTTGTGATTTGAGCATAGTAAAATAGAGATGTTTTCCACATCGGAACACTGAATAGAGTACAGTACGCTCACAAACGAAACCAATATCTATACATCTGTAGCTAATTATGATCCGACTTTAAAGTTGATGACGAAAAAACAGAAATGTTCGAGAAAATGTAATTTTACTGAGTAAACTGGAATACCACCATCCTATTATGCGAGTTGACAGATACATCGTTTCAAAGACGTTTTCATCATGAATCAATATTAGTCATAGCACTGTTGAAACGAACGAAAAGAAGAAACTCATTCAGCCATCTTGTGCACATCCGTACAGAGGTAATGAGTCACACCTATTGTGTGAGGGCTAGCAATACTACCCAGTTGCTCAAACTTAGGTAGGTAGGGAGTTGTTCCAACCAGTGACCCAATGGTTGTTAGTCATCTGCCTGAGCCAATGAGCCACAGAAACATTGGAGATCCAGGAGATCTAGACACTTGTTTCATCCTAGTTTGTGACTTCTCATCAGTTTGCATCCACAAGCTCAAGACAGTCAGGTCTTGTGGACTGAACGTTAGCATTAAGACGTTGATTTGTAATCTAATGGCTTACCCATTCCAACTTCTGTCAACTCACGGTGTAGTATGACCGTCAGCAGTTGCCATCGATGAGGTTTAGTTGTCAAATCTAACTTAGTTATTCCCAAAGGTCACAACTTCTAACTAGAACTTCAAGAGGTTCATCTCGAGGTGAATAGTTATTCATTTTGGAGATCTGTAAGGAACTGAACGAATTCAAACGAATTTCCAACAGTATACTTGTTTGAACATTGTAAGAAAACAGATTCAAACTCACCTTGCGTTTGATGTGACTTTATACACAGGTGTTTCTTTCACTCTGCTTATTACCGAACATGTAAGATGTTCGACCGGCAAATTATATTGATCAAGTTTCAGTGATGATGATGACTTTTCTCCATCTGTCTGATTCAGACTAAGTGCAGTAGGATAAGCGCGAACTGAAAGAATCGATAGCCCATGTGGGTTAACCAATGAATTATCCACGTAGAATGGTGGCACATGAACAGGTTGATTATTACGATACCAATAGACTTGTTGTATTGGTATAGGATGCGGCTGTGTGTTTGGTATACACTGATAGTGATTGAACGAAATCTGCAAGCAATACGAGCTGGTTTATTTTCCAATAATATCGGCTTTTTGTTATCTTTAAAGTTTGACTGTTTGCTTGATTCATCAATGTGTGAGTTAATTGTATACGCATTTGATGCCTGCTGCTCTTGATTTACAGACTGTTGACTTGACAGAATTGATTTTGATAAATTTTGGTTGATATCCTCTGAGCTGGATTCTTTATCACCTGGGAGAATGTAAATTTGTGGTGATATTGGCTCATATAACTCCCAGTCTATTTCATAGTAAGCAATAACTGGATCCTGAGAGTTAGAAAAAAAGTGGAAAATGGGTAGTATAAGACAGTCCAAGATACCTATGACATTTAATGAGTTGCTGCCACATATTATAACGTTTCAGTTGTATTGATTAATTTGACGTCTATCATTCAGAAAATAGTCTCTTCTGTTTATTTAGCAACATGTTTAGTCAGTCTTTATTTCCTAGTCAAGTGGCCATGACAACAGATTAGAAATCCTCTTTGAAGAACTGTACAAATGTATTAAGACCGCAGAAGTGTTTACCATTTGTTAATTTATTGAAATATGTTTGTTTTTAAGCTTTGAATCTTATGGATAAAGCACATGAAAATTGACAGTCTGAATTACAAACCACGCCCATTTTGCTTGTAATCCAATCACCATTAGTGTTCTATTAGATTTCCCCTTTATAAAGATACTCCAGCTTACTAAATTTAACTTATGCTACGAACGATGGAGATCACTGAGCTGATCACAGTATTGTGAAGAAACTCCATACAGAACTCAGAGCAAAACTCATCAGCTTTCAAACAGAGAAGTTGGGATGATTAAAAACGTTCTCTGAAGAATAGTTAAATAATAGTAAAGACTTCATGGTGAATATGCATATAAGCTTATTATGACTTATAACCTGTCAATGAAACATTGAATCAATTTTCTATATAATCCTTCATTGGATGACAATTTAGTACTCTTTAGTGACTTCATTTAAGATAAACCCTTTCAAAATTCTAACAGAGAACCATTATTATTATTATTAAATTATTATTTTTCCCTTGGGTTCCTACTGGAACATAGGGCTTCACTAGCACGTCTCCATTGCACTCTGTTTTCTACAGTCTTTTGAACCCAGCTCCACAACAGCCCACAAGCTTTCATTTCTACCTCACATGATCTCCTCCACGCCCAACTGGTTGTTTCCCCTTTGGATTCCACTCGATGACCTGGCCTGATGCGTGATGTCCCCAGTCGGCCTTCTCACTTTATGCCCGATCCATCTTCACTTTCTTCCACTGCATATGTGCTGGGTGAAAGGTTCTTGGTTGGTTCGTTGCCACAGTTCTTTGTTGCTTATTCTCATTATTCTGGTCATCTGATCTTCAGTATCGAGTGAGCGTAGGGGCAGCTGTTGATGAATATCTGTAGTTTGCTGGAAGTGCTTTTCGTGACACTACAAGTTTCTGAACCATCTCATAGAAGCACTGACTTGACACTGGTGTTGAAAATCCGGATCCTGTTATTTGTGCTGAGTGCAGTAGATCTCCACACTGATTTCAGATTAATGAAAGCCTGTCTTTCTTTTCTGATCCTGGCTTTGACACCCTCATCTGTGCAACATGTAGTCGAAACGATGTCACGCTGCCAAGGTAGGTGAAAGAGACTACTTCCTTTAGGTTTCTCCCGTTGATGGTGGTTGGTGCTTGTTGATGATGCTGTTGTTGGTTGGGTATCTTCATCACCTCTGTCTTCCCTACATTCACTTGAAGTTCCGTCCTCGCTATCTTGCCTCTTCTGTCAACTTGTTTGCTTTTGTCTGTACATCTTCAAGTTTGTGCGACAAGACATTAGACACAAATCATCATCGGCGAAATCCAAATCTTCTTCTTCTTCTCGCTCCTCACGGTTTGCTGCATGATCCACTTCAGTCGACCACAGTCAAGAAGATCATGGGTGATAGTAGACAGCAACCTTGTCTTACTCCTCTCTTCACTTCAAAGGCGTCACTGAGCTTCCCATTGTGAATCACTTGACATGTGCCATCGTCATATGGCTGTTGAATGAGGTTGATAAAGCTTTATGGCACTCCGTAGTTTTGAAGCAGCTGTCTGGCAGATTACTTGTTGGTCGACGCTGTCGAAGGCCTTTCCAAAGTTGATAAAGTTGAGGTGGAGAGTTGACTGTCATTCTGTACTCTGTTCTAAGACGATGCATAGCATTGTAATCTGATCTCCACATGATTTCTTCTTCCTGAATTCAGCCTGTCCCGGTCGTAGTCTAGAATCCAGTGCATCTTTTAGTCTCTCCAGGATGATGCGGCATAATATTTTGCTTGGTTGGGGTGGACAAGGGTGGAGCATGATTCCTTTACAGTTCTTGCAAAGGCTTATATCTCCCTTCTTTGGGAGTTTGACAAGGTACCCCTTCTTCCAATCAGTCTGCAGGTATGTTTTCTTCCTTCCTTGCAAAGTTTCTGCAGTAGTGGTGTGAACATGTCCGCTGTTGTTTTCTCTGTGTCTGTCTTCAGTGCTTCTGGAACAATTTATCTTGTCCTGCTGCTTTCCCGAATTTCAGCAGTTTTATGGCGTTCAGGACTTCTGCTTTTGTCGGACGGACTATGTTCACTAGTAATTCTGTTGCTGGGCTGCTGGTGGTATTTCTTAACGAGTTGCAGGTGGTGGTGGTGGTGGTAGTGTTCGATTCAAGAGTTTTTTTTAAGTGGTCAGCCCATTGTTTCCTTTGTTTCTCCTCTTTGCTAACTAGGTTTTTTTCACTATCTTTGATGAGTTTTGTCTGGGTTGATCTCTTCACGGATAATAACCTGGTCGTTTGACACAATGTTGTCAAGTCTCTCCTACCAGCAGCTTGTTCTGCTTCACTTACCAGTGTGTTGTAGAAGTGTCTTTTGTCTTTGTGTGCACTCTTCCCCACTTCTTTGTTCAGTGTATTGTTTTTTGGGGTTGTACTCAGTTCTTCTTTTGGTTGTGCATCCTTGCACTGGTTCTTCTTCTGCTTCACCATCTTCCTCTCCCTCCTCTATCAGCTTCCATGTATCCGCCGAGATCTATTCCTTGTCTTGTTTCCTCTCCCCTCCTAATGCAGTTATACAGGTTTCTTTCCACATCTCTTTCAAAGAGTTCCAGTGTTCTTCCACCCAGGTTCCTTCAGGGATGTTGCTTAATATCTCCTACTCTGTTCTGTGGGCTGACGTGAAGATGTCCTTTGTAGTTTCGTCCTTCACCTTCTGTTCTGGGTGTTGAACTTGACCTGTGGTCTATCACCAGCTTCTTTGAAGTCTTTCAACTTGATTTTGAAGGCAAGTTCCTTGCTGTAGATGGTGAGTGGTCTCAACCTACATCTGCTCTTCTTCTTGATCTGATCTTGTGTTCAGTAGGCTGTGTCTCCCCTTTCTTCACACTGAGATGAAGTCGATCTGATTTTCAGTGTAGTTTGTCCATCTGGTGAAGTCTATGTCGCTGCCTTGTGAATATCTTTATGTTTGTACACACTACCTCCAACTACCAAGTCGTTGAATGCGCAGAAATTTGCATACAGTTCTCCGTTCTCATTCATCTTCTCAACGAGTGCTTCTCGACCCATGGTGAGTTCTCTTTCTGTGTTGTCCGCTACGAGTTCGCCATTCATGTCACCCTACCTATTAGAATTTCGATGTCGCCAACTGGAGTTGTGTCTTGTCTAGTACTGATTACAGTTGTCTGTAGAAGTCCTCCTTCTTCTCTTCATCTGCATTATTTGTAGGTGCGTAGCATTCTACGATTGTGACTTTCCCTCATTTTGAGTTGAATCTTGCTGTCATGACCCTGCAGGAGGAGACTTGGTCCCACTGAGTGAGAGAGAGCCTTTGATGCTGTTGGGAACATTATCATAGCCACTCCAAAACCCAGTGTACTCGTGGTTGTCGTGTGGGTGACAATATCGGAGTAGATTATTGACACTCCAGTTGGGTTTTGAGAGTCCACTTCCATTCCATCTGCTGATTCCTGGCGCTTTTGTACTATACCTTCTCATCTCTTTTGCAATCTGGGTAGCCTTGCTAGGTTCATACATGGTGCGGACATTCTATGTCCCCATCCTTACTTTCGCTTCCATCAAGAGGACACACATCGGCCGACTGGCTTCCTGAAGGCTTTGACCAACCGGCGTCATTTCGTCTCTTGGACTCCGGAGAGGAATAAGTTTGTTTTTATATTTTATAATTTGTTTGTGCTTTGAAGTTTTTATAGCGGTTAGATTGGTTTTGCGGGGTAGGGTTGGTAACCGTGCGCGCGACCTTCCCTCTTTATCCGTGCTTTGAACCGGCTAGTAACTAGTGAATTTGCTAACATATAAAAACAACGAATTCTAATATTGGAACACATTTCCAAGGAATACACTGGATGATGTTAGAGGTGCATCACAAATTGACGTAGCTGGAAAATATAGCTCTCTGTATTTTAGTATAGCGGTTGGATCATAATACATCTACTCAAAGTTCTCAAAGTCTTGAACTCAAACCCAAATGGAATGTGTATGTATGCACCATCTAGAAGTCTGGGGTTAAAACTAACCAGTTGTTCAGTGCCTCTTAGTTTTCAGTACCTGTCTATCATTTTACGCGAAAACTATTAACTTAGTTGGCTCCCATTTCATCTAACGATGATTGTGGGTAGGTTTAGTTGTATTTGAGGTACGTAGACAATCGATAAATTCGCTCCCCCATAAGCATATGCAACATTGAAAAGATTTCTCATTGATATCTACGGGAATAGTCAAAGCTAAGCAGTTCCAACCTTCGGACAAGCTATCTAGTGTTAAAATCTGGTAACGTCCCCTGTACTGAAAGTGTGGATCGGTTTTTACTAACGTACCTTGTGAGAGAGAAAGCATGAGGACAATGGATTTTAATTTCATCCTCAAAGCCAGAAACCTTTTGTGTTCTGATTCCTTACCCTATCCCTCGGAAACTACCTAATGTAAATTGGTTCTCTGACATCTTTGTTTTCATCACAAAGCAGTATCATTTCAGAGACTGATGAAAACGGTGGAAAATACTTAATCCTCAAGTTTCGCTAAGCTATTTCCAGCTGTAAGTCAGTAGCCTTCATTAAGATGCAGTGAAAAGTTCTCATCACCAGTATTTACTAATATCAGTCAAGATATGACAGAGAAGTAGTATTTTCTGATGTCATCCATGAGCAGTATACGCCCACTTGAAGATGCGTTAATATTTGAGTCACAATTTCTTATTCGAACAACAACCAATAATCCACAAAGAAGTGAGTTCG